TTGGTTTAAAACATTTGCTTCTTAATTCCATCTTTTCACAGGAAGATAGATGAGGTGTAATACATACTTATTTGTGATAAACACTGAATATGTTGCTATAATTTCAGAGCCTGTGAAAACTGTTTCTGAAGTATCTCAGTGGGTCCAAGACATCATTCATAAGAGAGAGAACTCATTACAGCTACTTCGGGTTCAGAAGCTACTCAAAGGACAGAAGACCCAGGTTTTGACTCCAGGTGCATCTTACTGACAAGTCTGTTTTCCTTCTGCCAAGCTTATGTAACTGGAGACACGCTCACCTTCATCTCTGACTCAACTCACACTAACCAGTTCTCCCCTTCTGCCCATAATGCCCAAATTCCATAGATATGTGGTGAAGGGCTCTAACTAGTAGTTCAAGCACATCTTAATTAAGAATTTTTGAGTGAGGATAAGCAGCAACTTAATTGCCTGATATTCAGATAGCAGGAGCTGATGACATGTAGTTAGAAAGGTATTAACAGAAACCTAAGGAGGTCAGGAGTGTGAGTCCTGGGTGAGAATGAAAATCAGACTTTAAATAATTTTGGAAGAGTATAAGTAGCGGTGTTGTCATACTCCATTGCAGGAACCATAGATTTCTGTGTGTCAAGGGCCCAAGGACTGTAGCGTTTTTTACCTTAAGCTACAAGCTTTGTGGAGTTCTGCACACACCCTTCGTGTGAAGAATCTTCTTTTATCTACAAGGTTAAACTGTGCCAGAAATCAGAGTATTTGTGTTGGTAGCTGAGATGCATAAAGTCACAGTCGCTGGCATGTAAGATCATCTAATTGGACAGCAGGTTTCTTTGTGACCTCTTGTGTGAATGGGTGCTCTCCGTGCCCAGAGCACACTCTAAGCTACGTATGGAATATTGTGAGAAATGTGTCCAGTCTGCACAATTATGAAATGGACACTTGGGGCTTCACCTGTGCCCACACTAAACACTGCTGTTGGAGAGGTATTATCTAGAAAGGATCTATAGACACCTTTCCATTTTCTAGGACAGAGAATTGAGATGGTTGTGTTTTCCATTAGTTGGAGTAAAATAGGTACTATTGGATGTGAGAAGCAGAAAAGTAAGAGGCAGCAGGGGCTTGCTAGTTTTGGGGCAACTTCCCAGAAAGAAGCTAGTTTTTGCAGAACTGTTAAGACTGCATCCTGTTACTAGCAGAGAAGAGGTGAGAAAACATAATGCTATAGATTCAGGGAAAAGGAGTAGCTTTGGAGTTGGGTATCTCATATTTGGCAGTGTCTCTGTGATGTACTGCTCCCAACAAAAAGAGACCCTGCTTTCCTTGCTACCTTCCATATATAGGGCAAATACCATCTTAGCCAGAACTGCCTCCTTAACATAGCACACTGTTCTGTCATCCCTAGGGATATTTCCTTGCCTTCCTTTCACAAGAATTTCCTAAACCGTCTGCCCCTGGGAATCCTGAACACAGATCTATATCCCAAGACTTCCAGCACAGTCCAACTCAGACTGTATGCCAGGGAGTCTGATCATAGCTTAGCGTGAGGGAAACAGTTCCCAGTCTAGCCCCATGCTGCTGGCATCTTCCTTCCATGTGTTTTCTAAACTCTGACTGATTTCTGCACCTATTTCTCAGTTTCTTATTCACAGAATCACAGAATGTTAGGGGTTGGAAGGGACCTTGAAAGATCACCTAGTCCACCCCCCCTGCCAGAGCAGGACCGCCTAGAGTAGGTCACACAGGAACATGTCCAGGCGGGGTTTGAATGTCTCCAGAGAAGGACCCCCACAACCTCTCTGGGCAGCCTGTTCCAGGGCTCTGTCACCCTCACAGTGAAAAAGTTTTCTCTTATGTTAATGTGGAACCTCCTGTCCTCCAGCTTGCACCCGTTGCCCCTTGTCCTGTCATTGGCCATCACCGAGAAGAGCCCGGCTCCATCCTCCTGACTCTCGCCCTTTACATATTTCTAAACATTAACGAGGTCACCCCTCAGTCTCCTCTTCTCCAGGCTGAAGAGCCCCAGCACCCTCAGTGTTTCATCAGAAGGGAGATGTTCCACCCCCTTCATCCCCTTTGTGGCTCTGCGCTGGACTCTTTCAAGCAGTTCCCTGTCCTTCTTGACCTGAGGGGCCCAGAACTGCACACACTATTCCAGGTGCGGTCTCACCAGGGCAGAGGAGAGGGGGAGGAGAACCTCCCTCGATCTACTGACCACACCCCTTCTAATACACCCCAGGAAGCCATTGGCCTTCTTGGCCCCAAGGGCACGTTGCTGGCTCATGGTCATCCGGCTGCCCACCAGGACCCCCAGGTCCCTTTCCCCTCTGCTACTCTCTGTTCAGATAAGAGGAGTGGTTCCTGTGGAGTAAGCTAAGCAGGAATTCACTTGCCTCTACATTTTGTGACTGTAGCATACTGAGAAAGACAGACACAATCCATAATTAAAATGAAATTGTCTTGTTTTCTAAAAGGTCCTTACTCAGCCAGAAGCTAAGGCATGAAAAACAATGGCTAAAATTTTCTGGCAGGTGTTTCCCAGACCAGGCCAGATGGCAATACCTTATTGTGGCTTTAAATTCTTACAAATAATCTTACTGGCAGGTGTCTTAATAATTTCCATGAGTTGATGGCTATCTTGTACAATAATCATTCTAGTCAGAGGCACTGCTTTAAGTACTCTATTTTGTGCAGATGCCATTTTTTAAAATGGCTGCTTACAGCTAGGTTTATTGAATTGTTTTGATTTTTTTTTTCCCACCAATTTCTCTGCCTTTTGCAATTTATTTCATGGGTAGATGACACTAGACCCTATTCTGTAAGACAAGGTTGATAAGGCTGTCTGTTCAGACCTTCCTTTTAATGTGTTGTTTTGTATCCCCTTTGCTGTGTTCTCATTAGAGTAGTAATTGCATTCTGTAATCTGTTAACTACTGGAGGTCCGCATGTAGTTAGACGACCTGTGAAATGTTTGTTTTGTTTTGTTTTTAATTGGCACACACAAGCAAAAAAAAAACAGGAGAAAAATAATAAATATTCAAAGCTCAGGCTAACTTCTGTTTTACTACTAATGGCAAACAATTGGGCAACACACATTAAAGATAGTTCATGGTATGTTTTCCAAAGTCTTATGTTAACTTAAAGGTATACAAACCGTGTTTTTTGTTCCGGTCTCTTTAAACAGACTTGCATATCATAATATCCTCTTATTTAACATAGTAGATATATAACAACTTCAGTGTTCTCCTCACATACTGAAAGTTTTGGGCTGATTACTTCTTCTGGATGGGTGCTATTAGTGCCGGTGAGCTGGCCCCAGTTGATATTTAGCGCCTTCTAGTGGCCTGGAATTGATGTAGAACCTGGTAACCTACAAGGGTAGCTCACTTATTTCTCTCATTATATCCTTTTTTGTTTACAATAATGATCTGACAACTTTTTCCCCTTGCATGCCTAGGGCGCTGGTATATCCGGGAAGGCTGGCTTTTGGTGGTGCCTTCAAAGGGAGAAGAACTGAAGCGCAGGATGTTCTTCCTTTTTTCTGATATCTTTATCGCAACAAAGCCCTGCCACCCACTGCACCCGCTGAACTCGAACAAATTGGCATGCCAGGCTGTCTACCCGCTTCACCAGTGCATAGTGGATAAAGTGTTCGGCCACACGCAGAGCCAAGGAGGGCTCCTCAGTGTAAGTCTTCCTGCTTCTGCCTGGCAGAAGCATCAGTGGGGTCAGGCTTGTGAAGTAGGTCTCTAGCTGTCTCTGCAGCAGCAGGACTGAGATGATGAGAGTGATGACAACCGTAAACACAATGTCTGAGTGAGGGAAACCCTTCTTTTGAGTGATGTAGGTCCTTTTGCCTTCGTGCTGTTTGCCCTCCTGAGTACTCTGGGGAACAGACTGCTGGTTGCTTCACTTAGCTCAGATAAGGAGGGTCCAATAAGACTGACATGTCCTCATTAGAGCCACATGTTTGGGGAGACAGACCCACAGTCGTGTGACAATGAATATGTAGCATTGCATTGACTGTTGACTGAGCTTATAGAAAATGCTGAAAAACAAAGAATGCAAAAAAACCCACAACAGATATTGTTTGTGCATCTAACTCCCTGAGGGCTGCAAAGTCTTTGACTGGGACTGATGCCTTAGGCAGGGGTTTCAAGTACAGGTCTTCCTAGGTTGCAGCCCCTGGGAGCTATGTTAGCTCATTCCTTGTGAGCTATGGCAAGGAAGACGCTGTGGGCAAGCTGTGATTTGTAGATGGTGGTAGTGGAAAGACCCCTAGGGGCAGCTTGAAATATGGGGGAAAACTATGAAGAGCTGCTGAGAACTGTAATTGCCCACTTCCAAACATCCTATTAAGTCAAAGTGAGCTGTCACCTTTGGCTGGAAGGAATGGACAAGACTGACACTTGCTCTGTACTGTCCAGTCTCTGGCTTTTCCCAATACCAATGCTAAATTTTTCTATCTGGGAAAGAAAATGGTGGAAATCAGCATGTGGGCTGAGTGGAGATCAGTGGTGGTTTCCTTTTATCGGAGTTGCTGCCTTGGCAAGGAATGCCATGGAGTGGCACCAGATTCTGTTTGCTTTTCAGCTTTCCTTTCCACACAAGACACTGTTGCTGATGTCCAGTGACCAAGAAGATATTAATGACTGGTATCGGAGTCTCACAGCTGCAGTCAGGTAGGCATCTATTTTCCAGAGGTAAAGGGGCTGAGGGAAGGGGGAAGAACATAAAAATCATCATATGGACCTGTGTATTTGCATGTATTACATGGTTATAAGGCTGATAGAGAAGACCTGACTCTGGCAGCCAGTATACAAGGGAACAGTAAGAACAGATTTAATGTATTAACAGTGAACTTCCCTTTTGTTTGCCTCTACAGGCAGCTGAAAGCCTGACCCACCTGAGTACAAGACAGAATCACAGGATGGTAGGGGTTGGAAGGAACCTCTGGAGCTCATCTAATCCAACCTCCCTGCTAAAGCAGGTTCACCTACAGCAGGTTGCAGAGGATCACATCCAAGCAGGTTTTGTGTATCTCCAGAGAAGAAGACTCCACAGCTTCCCTGGGCAGCCTGTTCCAGTGCTCTGTCACCCTCACAGTGAAAATGTTTTTCCTCAAGTTGAGGAGGAACTTCCTGTGCTGCAGTTTGTGCCTGTTGCCCCTTGTCCTGTCACTGGGCACCACTGAAAAGAGCCTGGCCCCATCCTCTTGACACCCACCCTTTAGATATTTATAAGCATTGATAAGGTCCCCTCTCAGTCTTCTCTTCTGCAGGCTAAAGAGCCCCGGGTCTCTCAGCCTTTCCTCATAAAGAGAGATGGTCCAGTGCCCTCATCATCTTCATGGCCCTCCTCTGGACTCCCTCCAGTATTTTCCTGTCTCTCTCGAACTGGGGAGCCCAGAACTGCACACAGCACTCCAGATGTGGCCTCACCAGGGCAAAGTAGAGGGGGAGGAAAACCTCTCTCAACCTGCTGGCCATGCACCCCAGGATACCATTGGCCTTGGCACAAGGGCGCATTGCTGGTTCATGCTTAACAATGCTGTCCAACAGAACTCCAAGGTCCTTCCCCTCAGAGCTGCTCTCCAGCAGGTCGGCCCCCAGCCTGTACTGGTGCACAGGGTTATCCCTTCCCAAGTGCAGGACCCTACACTTGCCCTTGTTGAACCTCATCAGGTTCCTCCTTGCCCAGCTCTCCAGCCTGTCCAGGTCTCACTGAATGGCAGCACAGCC